TTTTCTTAATCTTTCCGTTGTCTTTTCATTTACCCCCTTTTTTCCTTCTTTGATAGATGCTTCAAATATTCTTTTCCTCAACTAAATCATTAGCTTCAGTTTGTGTAATTGGATTGGTCCTTTTTTCTTAAAAAAAAGAGAAAAAAAAAAGAAAAAAAAAGTTTTTGATTAGGGGTTTGTTTTTGTTTTTCCTCTCTCCTCTCTCAGAAAAAGAAATCTCATGCTTTAAATAAAATCCAAAGACAAACCCTTTCCCTACTGATGCAGGGAAAGGGTTCTCGTTACTTGAGAATTTGTTTTTGATTTACACAAACAAGACTTAGTTTAATAAAAGGAAAAAAAAAAAAAAAAAAAAAGATTCCCAGGTTGTTTCTGTGCTGCTTCCGCAAGCGGAGAGGCCACTATGAACGACGGTTCCATGTACCAAAAGACCCATTTTTTACTTCAAAGTTTTGTCCTTGTGTTAGGCAGTCTGAGCAGCAAGTGATGCAGAGCGCAGCCAACAAGCAGAGAGCAATGTACCGAAAGCATAAAAACCCACCAGAGGTACTTGGTTTATGTTAACACCCATCTTCCCCTCACACACAGCACCACACACACCCTTCCTCATCCTAAAAAACATTCTGAACTTTCAAAGGAAAACTTTTTGTGCTGCTAAAAGGTAGATTTTGGAGACAAATAGACGCTTTGCTGTTTCACTTTCATAGCCAAACATCAGCAATCTCCCCTTGCCCCAAAAGTGTGAAGCCCTCTCCCCCTTCATTCTCTTCCTTCTGTTTCAAAAGGGAACTTTGAAGACTGTGAATGCAGGTCCATTCGGTCACCTTTCGGCTTCTCTCCCCTGAAGCCGCTCATCGACTTTGCAGAAAGACTGGAGCATTCCAAGATCTGAAAATGCATTTCTTTTTTCTCTTTTTCTTTGTTAGCCGGGACTGTTCTATTTTTATGAATTTGTTTTTAGTTTAATGGAAGAGTAGATTTCTGAACTGTTGTACATATTTCTAACTAGGCTGATGCACAGTGCAAATTCCTTTTTTAATTTTTGGTTTAAAGTAGAAATACTAAAGAGTACCATCTAACTATTCATACCAGTATCCAGTTGTAGCATAAGGTGTCAAAAACAAGTACACAAAACATTTGCCGTTTTAACAAGCTATTTTCTTTTAACGAGAATTCTTGTATTTTCTCCCTGTGTTTGAGATGAACATTTTTAAATTTTAAGGTTGTACAGTTTTTTTTCCATTATTTTATCTTGTTTGTAACTCTATGAAATATATATATATATATTTTTTGCCATTTACCTGTTGTATGTTACTCTGTGTCTGTATCATATAGAAAAAAAAAATGGTTTGTTTTTGTTTTGGGTTCTCTATGTGATACCAGTTAACAATTTAACACTAGCTTTACCTGTCCAATTCTACTAGGTCTTTTCCGAAATCTTTGTTTTTTCAAATGGTATTGCTTGGTAATAGTGCAATTTCTGTCCCTCCCCTGCCCCAACCTTAACTTCATTTCCTTGTAACTGTGCCCACCCGCACCCGGTGGTTTTCTTTTTTGAGCTACTGTGCCATCCTCCCTCTGTGAGGCGGAGTGCCTGTCAGTGTTGTGTATGCCATGCCGTGACCTGTGGGCGGGTCTGACGACAGCAGGACGCTGGGGTAGACTGGCCTCCACCCACCAGTGTTCCTCAGAGGGCTTCTGTGATTGTTTCAGCCTGGAGTGGGTTGCACAGGTAATGCTTTCCTCTACAACTGAACCGCCCACATACATGTTCATCCAAAAAAGAAAAAGATAATTCTCAGCATTAACCCAGAAGTAGCAAAGCAGTCAGTGATGATGGTGGAAATTAGAGGTCAAACATGAGCTCTTGAGATGTTCATGGGCTGACCTCCACTGTGGCTATGACCAGTATCGTTTAAAAAACATGAAGTTCACTATAATGCTCAACTGTGTGTTTAGACCGATTTTACTCCTGTCTGCTGCATAGTAGGTAGGTGAGTGTATCAACCCACTTCTAAATTAGTTCTTCGCCCCAGTTTTGTTTTTAATACTCCATAGTATGGGTTGGTGCTGGGCACCGTTCAGTCAGAGCACCAAATGGACCCCTAGAATGGAAGCCAATTCACCTATTCTTCCTCCGTCTTTCCAAAAAAAAAAAAAACAAGGAAAAGTTTAATACATCTAGGAAGTTTTTGTTTTGTTAAATTAAAAGCTATTTAAAGAGATGAATGTGGCCAAAGTTTTACACAATTGAAAATAAAGTAAAACAGACGGCATGTTTTAAAACCTGAGTTTATCAGGCATGGCAGGAAGTTGCAGGAGAGAGGGGCGGTGACCTAAGCCAGTGCACTTGATGTTCATGGACATATATTTTTTTTAAATAATAAATTAAATTAAACATTTTAAATAGAAGCATAAATTGAGTTGGTGGTTTGTTGGCGCTGAGATACTGCCCACTGTGAAACAAAGCTTTGATGAGTTTTTCTGTTTGTTTACTTTGGGGGGAGGGGGCAAGTTTGGGTAGGAAAGAAAGCATAAATGAACGTGACCCTGAGGTGAAGAGGTATATGAACAGCCTTTGCAATGTACAAAAAAAAAAAAAAAAAAATAGAGCAAGTGAAACCAAAAATGATGTTCTTGGTGTTTTTCTATAATGTAGTCTTGTTAGCTTTTTTGTTACTGTAACAATGCTGATCTCGAACTGTACCAAAATACATGGAGACTAACAAACAGAACCACATGGAACTTTCAAACTGAAAAAAAAAATTTGTCACAAAAACTTTGTTGTCATAGTTAAGTTGATTGTAGATGGTAATTAAATATACTCCTTTGAAAATATTTCATCAAGTATGTTTCCTGCTCATTGTGATACATTAAAAAAAAAATATGAGCAAAAGCGCATCTCTGTTACCAAATTTTGCGCGCGCGCGCGCGTGTGTGTGTGTGTGTGTGTGTGTGAGAGAGAGAGAGAACAGTCGGAAAAAGGTTGATGAGGAAAGTGTAAGCGTGAAGAGGCTTCTGAAGTTGTGTTGTCAGGGAGCACTGAATGACTGCAGCGTACTCAAATAGACACACAGGCTCCTTGCTATTTCTATGCTCCCCTGGACTTCCTGTCCCCAGGCACTCAGGAAGATGCCAGAAGTTTCTGCCATGATACCAGCCAGCCTATTTATTGGGAGGGATAAATCTGACCACTTGACCCCAGAGCCCTAATAGCACCTACATTTTCAATTCAAAAGTCTGTGAGAATTTTGGACATCTGATGCAATCATGAGCAAAGGAAGTTTTGGTAATGATCAGGTGAAAAGAGAGTTCAGTTTTTCCAAAATGGGAACCAAAATTTGTGTTTAAGACAGAAGGATATGAAAGGTAAGTTGAATAAAATAGATGATTGACTACACTACATTTACCTTTCCTAGCAAAGGATTAGGAAAGAACAGTGGCTGTAATGATGGGCTCAGGTACAGCAGAGACTGGGAGGCTGCCACTGGGCGGGGCAGTGTTCCCTTCTGCTGTACACAGGGTCGCTGTGAGTGGCACCTAAGGGCAGCAGCAGTAAAGGAACTGTCTAAACCTCCGATGGAGCTGAAGAAGTTGAGATGGAACGTTTGCACAACAGCAGTAGCAGAGTACAAGGGCATACACTATTACTCGGTCCTTTTATCAAACCCTCCCTTACCACAGAGAACGCCTGAAATTCACTAATAAGGAGTATATCTGAGAACAGGCCCAAAGGCCTTCCATTCATCCCTAATTTATAGCCACAGCTGATAAATCA